ATGCCCACCCCAAGCCACAGCCCCAACCGCACCCACACCCACACGCACGACCACACCCACACCCACCCCCACACCCACACCCACACCCACCAACACTCACACCCCACCCCACGACCACACCCACACCCTTCTACTTTTTTTTTAGTTTCCATTATGGATCAGTTTAAACGAAGTAGCAGGATAGTTTACTCCAAACAAAATGAGTTATCTGGAGTTTTTAGACTAGTGTGAACAAGGATTGATGGAGCATTCTCAAAAAAAATGGACTAGTCTTAACATGTGTAGATGACACTTCAAACTAGTCAAGTTTCTCTTCTCCGACGGGTGTCAAATTGCCTAGCAGATGGATGAGCATCATTGTGCTATTTGGACGGTTAAAACTGCCGTTAGTCTATCGATATGCTATAGTTTGCCGTTATGTTGCCCGTCAGATATCGAATACTGTCGGGTCAAATGTTCAAATCTACTTTTCGTCTTCTTTTTTTCTTATTTTTCTGTTTTGCTGACTAGTTTGGACGCAGTTAACGGACAAAACGGACTAGACATGACGGGTATTGCAAACATTTCGGACTAGTCATTTTGACCATCTTCACTTATAATCTTGATCACCTGGGCAGAGTGGGTTTATATTTATGTGTGCACGTGTGCAGTCACTTGTTGATAAAAAAAAGCAGTTCACATAAAGCGATCATACGACTCTGTAATTTATCACATTTGGAATAAAAAGAAACGCAACATCTTTCTCAAAAGTATAAAAAATCCATGAACTGCACAATCAACTTTATTTTATCCCTCATAAAATAAAAACAAAGTCGAAAAAAATAACGTTACAAGACAAAAAATAAAAATAATATGGCATCATTCGGTGATTTACTAGGAGCTCCAATCATCTCATATACCTCATTGCGTGTTGGTAAGTTTGAATATTGTTGTTTTCGTTCTAAATTTCGTTTTGAATGAAAGATAATCTTCACCCTGATGTTAATGAGGCTATGTTATTCGACAAATTTGCAAGTGTTGGTCCAGTTTCATCAATTCGAGTCTTTCGTGATATAATTACACGACGATCACTTGGCTATGCTGAAGTCAATTTTCAACAAGCAGCTGATGGTATGTCAGTTTACTAACTATTGCAATAGGATGATATGTGATTGAATGAAATGAGAAAAATAATAAAAAACGATTGTTCGCTTTTTATTTATATTCGAGTTATAGGATATTACCAAAATCCAGTAGAATTGCTTTTGATAAAAGATATTCTTCCATAAATAAAAAATTCTATCGTTTCAGCTGAATATGCATTCGATACAATGAATTTTGGTTTACTTCATGGTCGTCCATTACATATTATGCGGTGTCAACGTGATTCAGCATTACGTAAATCGGATGTTACCAAAGTTTTTATTGAAAATTTAGATGAAAGAATTGATGATAAATTACTTTATGATACATTTTCGGCTTTTGGCAATGTCTTATCATGCAAAGTAAATTTATTTATCTGTTATATAAACTAATTTTTTATAATTATTTTCATTTGATTTTATTAATAGATCATGATAAGAAAAAATAATCAATCAAAAGGTTATGGTTTCGTTCATTTCGAAACACAAGATGCAGCAGATAATGCTATTAAAAAAGTCAATGGTATGTCATTAGCTGACAAAAAAGTTCATGTTAGTCGTTTGATGTCATCTAATCAACAAATCGACGTTGATGGAGCACGTCAATTGATGAATATATTTATTAATAATTTCGGTGATCAATTAGATGAAGAAAAATTACGTTAAATTTTATCAAAACATGGAAAAGTTTTAAGTTGTAAAGTAAACTATCTGATTGTTTTTCGTTTTTGTAATCGGAAATAATCAACCTAATCCATTTTTTAGATTGAATATGATGAAAATGGACATTCAAAAGGTTTTGGTTTTTGTAGTTTTGAAAATCCAAAAGAAGCTGAAGAAGTAAAATGAAGAAAAAGAAAACAATATGAAATTAAAAGAAAAAAACATAATTTATTTTTCTAGGCTGTTCAAAATTTAAATAGATATTCAATTGGGGATAAACAACTTTGGGTTGGCCGTTTTCAAACGAAAAGTGAACAATTATCGAACATAACGCGTAAAAAAGATTTACAACAACAGGAACGTATGAATGAATATCAAAATGTTAATTTATACAATTTATACATTAGCAATTTGGATGATACTATTGATGATGAACGATTAAAAAAAGAATTTTCAAAATTTGGAACAATAACTAGTGCTAAAGTAACTTCATATTCTTCTTCTATAGATGTTTTTTAGAATTATATTCGCTTTTTCTATTATTTAGGTTATGGCAGAAAATGGTCGATCAAAAGGTTTTGGTTTCGTTTCTTTTAGTACAACGGATGAAGCAGCAAAAGCTATTACTGAAATGAATGGTTCTTTTGTCGGTTCTAAACCACTTTATGTTGCATTAGCTCAAAGAAAAAAAGAACGTCGTATGCATTTAACTAATCATCATATGCAATATATTGCAACAGCACATGTATCACCACAAATGGAATTACCATTTCCAAATGAAATGTGTCTTATGATGCCATATTTATTAACACCAATGGACCCATCACAACCATGTAACTTCTATCCATCAATAGCAATGCCAATTTATCAATTCGCACAACCATGTTGGTCATCACCTGTAACTACCACCGATGCTATGAGATCACAAACAAGTACTCAAATGATTGGTATACAAATCTCACCATCAGCTATGACTGATGTTGGATCTCGATCAACAATGCCAATGGGAATTCGACCAACATCAAAATCAGGACAAATGATGGCTGACACTTCTGTTCGACCATGTGTTGGAGTACAATCACAACAAGCAGCAGCTTATACTCGTACAGCACGAAATATGCCACCTAATGTATGTATTCAAATTGAATAAAATAATAATAATAATTTTGTTTTTAGAATCCAACTGGATTTTCAGATTCAATTGTAGTTACTGAACAAAAACCATTAACATTAGCTGCTCTTGCTAATGCAACACCATTAGAGCAAAAACAAATGTTAGGTGAACGTTTATTTCCATTAATTCAACAAATTCAACTAGAATTAGCTGGTAAAATAACTGGCATGCTTCTCGAAATTGATAATACTGAACTTCTTCATATGCTCGAATCAAGTGAATTACTTAAAGCTAAAGTATGTTTATTCAACTTTAAAATAAATTATTTTATTTTTATTTTATATTAGGTTGAACAAGCTATTGCCATACTTCAAACATATCAAGCCAAACAAGCAGCAACTAATTCAGCTGCTCAAAAAAATCAAATATCATCATTTAAAAAAATAAAAATAAAACAAAATCCAAGCAAATGCATTGGCATATATACATACACATAGATTGCCTTTTGTTTTTTTTTCTTCTGCGTCGTTTACAAAAACACTCATGCTTTTTGTTTTTCAAATACGTTCTATTTAACGAGCAGAAAAGAGTAAAAATCAAAAAAAAAATGGAGTTCAATACACATGACACTCAAAACATCTAATAACGTTCATACTGCTTTTCCAGAAAATGACTAGATGCTCATGGTGTAAAAAAATGCCAGATGTCGATAGATTAAGTCAATCACTATCAGAGCCATTTTTCTTTTCATATTATTTATTTGTACATATCCTTGTCTCTATTTTATTATTATGATTCCGTTTATAATGATATGAATAAATAGAGAAAAACAACTTACACAATTTCTACTTAATATTTATAAACCTTCCTATTCTATCAAAGAGCGACAGCGTTATTTCTATTGTTCTGTTGGTTGATTAGTTGATCAAATGAAAACCGTGGGTATTTTTGAGTTACACAAGTTATCATAATGCACAATATTTGTGTATAGGAGATGGAAATTAGGATATTAAATTTACTGCAAAACTATCATTAGACTCAATGTTAATAACTCTCTCTCTCTTCTCTTTGTATTGGCATATCGATCCTTTTATTCCAAAAAAAAGAAGTAAAAAACACAAATACATACCATAAGAACAGACAAGACAGAATAATGTATACAAACACATCAATTTGAGAAACATTTTCTTCTTCATTGATCGGATTGTTTACTTATTCATTCTATTAAAAATTATTTTCAACAAAATATGGAATCAATACATAATATTCTTGACTAATTTAGATTGAAAATGTCAGAGAAATTTCACAATGTAATTGAAATATTTCCTGTTGAATTATGGCGAGAAATATTTGGATATTTCAATTCAAATGAATTATGGTATTCATTTCGTGGTTTAAATAGAAGAATTGATGGAATTATTGATCGAACAGTGTTATATTTAAATTTTACAAAGCGAGGTACTTATAGTTACTTTATGAAAAATATTTTATCACCAATGAAGGTTATTAATGTTCGATCATTAAGATTGACGAATTCCAATGAAATACAACATTTTTTTTCGAATTTTTCTCTTGATTCATTAATTCATCTTCGTTTATTATCTTTAAAGTTTATGTATTCTTTTAATGATAATTCATTTACATTCTGGAATCAACTTTCATCTTTGAAATATCTACAATCATTGAAAATTATATTTTGGGGCAATCAAGTCGGACCCGATAATATTATTAAAGAAAATGAATTTATTATCCGTTCAATATTTAATAAAGATTATTGTCCATTACTGAAATCTTTGACCATCAATATTGATCGTACGCAAAGCGTAATGTCATTAATTCCTTCGTTAATTCCAACAACTAAAGTAACAAATATCAAATATCTGTCGCTTGATTCATTGACATTTAATGATTTTATTAAATTACTTCCTGCTTTACAAAATATTAAATCATTTTATATAGATAGCGAGTTATGTTTGGACAATGAATCTAATGAACTGCAACCGAATATGACAATTACAATACCATTACTGCCTAAATGTACTCGATTACATGTCGGATTATCAAACGATATAATGTTGGAACAAGTTGAATATTTATTAAAACATACTCCAAACTTAAAGGATTTATTTGTATGGGGTTGGTATCATTTACTTGATGCAAAAAGATGGAAATCGTTACTATCAATGCAATGTCCGAAATTAAAAAAATTTGAATTAATATGTAGTGGCCCCACTGATGATAATGATTTTGATCAAGCAATAGAGGATTTTGAACGAAAATGTAAAAAAACACCATTTTGGCGTCAACAAAATGTCTCAGTTGAATATGTAAATGGTTCAGATGATGATGATTCTGAGATTATTTTTCGATTTAGTATTAAAAAAGTGAGTTTTATGTAGATATTAAAGCCATCGACACATTAGAAGACCCGGGGTCTTCTATTCTGTCTTATTGTTTCTAAGTTAAAAGGGAGTTTTCTATTATGTCCCTAAGAAAACTCATATTTTTTGGCAATCCCACGAACAAATCTTAGTTTCACTTGATTTTTGTCCAATATATCGTTAGCGAATGAGTTCGTTTCACTTATTTCACATATGTAGAATAAGAAAGAAACAGATATTATCCTGTGAAAAAAGGAAGACCATCGTTGGTGAGAAGTGTTCTTAGAACAATACAATCAATGTAGCCTAGCATCTTGGTATGATATCCCATATCGTTCTTTTTTCTCTGGGCTAAGACCTATCACTGGCAACATTTTACCTTCTCAATAACTAAACAAATGTAAAAAAGAAAATTAATTTTTTTTTATCAAACTCATTTTATTCAGTTGCTTATTTGGAGATTTGAGTAGTATAGATGGATTCTATTCATAGTGAATTCTGATGCTAGCAGAGTTATTAATCTCAAGCTAACTTCAATGAATACGATTGTCTTGTGAAGAAACCATCTACAGAAAATCAGCAGATGAATACACACACACTGTCTTTTCTTTTGCGTCTGTTTTAAAAATGTCATTGTATTTTATTAAAAAAAAAAAGAAATGCGTTCTCAAACTCAAAAGAAATACTCACATATCAAATGTCGACATATATACAGTCTGCACAAAAATTCTGGGACACTCAAGAATGGCTCTCCGAAATTTCATCTTTCATGTGAAATAAACTTTATATATATTTATTAGTATAGTTACTGGTTAAACTTTCGTACCTTACTCTACAGACGCGAAACTTCTAGTTTTAATATTATATGAAAGTTTAACCAGTAACTGTACTTAAAATATATATAAAGTTTGTTTCAAATGGAGTATAAAATTTTGCAGAGCCGTTCTTGAATGTGCCAGAATTTTTTGCGTAGACTGTATATGAAGTTATGTTTTCTTCAATTATGAAAGACTGTTTTGTGGTGAAAACGTTTCTGATTGTCTAGAAGAAAGTCAAAGATGAAGAGATCTTTTAGTTAATACAAAGCGGCATTTTATCGAATCTGTTGCTATTGTACAAAGACCCTTTATGTGTTACATGCACGAACGGGCACTGCGTTTATTAGATCCCAAGACCATGGAAACTTGTTTTTCATGTATAGAGCCTGAAGAATGTTTTCAAAGTAAGCTGCAAAGGAGTACTAAAATGACTCCATGATATATTTTTACAAAGAAACGCAATCTTTAATAGATTGTTGTTTCCTATTAGCTGCTTCTCAGGGTTTTACTCATTCGATAAATACTAAACAAGTCAATAAACTCTGGAAATTATTTCAAAATATTGATTTTTTAAGGGGCTCTTCTAATATGTCTTTTGCGTCATTTATTCAAGGGGGGGGGGAGGGGTCTTCTAATATAGGAGGGTCTTCTAATGTGTCGATGGCTTTAACTGATTTTCTGCACTAAGAACTATCCTAAAAAATATCAGTAAAAGAAAGGAAATAATTTCTATTTGAAATGAAAAAATATTTAAGATAGAATATTTTTGTGAAAATATGTATGAGTTCTGCATTTTGGTATATGAAGGACTGCACTGATCATTTTTTCTTTTCATTTTAGTCAAAACAACGAATCAAATAGAACTGAACGATCAAATAGATTGTACTTTGTTAACAAACATATTTTTTTCACTCAAAGTTTTCTCTTGTATTGTTTTTGTTACAAGTTTATTTTTGTTTCTTGTTTTTCTATGTAAGAGGCATATGAATAAACATAGTTATTGCATTTTGTCAAGTATATTTGTCTGATGTGGAAAAATCGATTTTAGTGTAGAAATTTCTCATAATGAATGAGTTTTTTGGTAAGATTATACAGGATTAGGTAGGATTCTATGACTAAATTTTTTTAGCTTTTCTACCGTTTAAAAGTACTAATGTTCTGGAAAGTAGTGAGTGTCAACTTTGTTTTACAAAGTACCACCACATAATTTAGAGAAACTACTTGAAGGTTCTAACTGATATTCATTTATCTTGTATCTAAGTGAAGATCTTTATTTGAAAAAACTTTTACTCTTTTACTATAAATTTCTCCACTATTTTTCGTATTGACTAATTGTTGCATCGACTAATTTTGGCGTTGATCAATTCTCATAGTGATGGATTTCCATTTTCCTAGATTTTTCTTCGTTGCAGCAGTACCAGTACTTTCAGACATGGAGTTCGTTGAAATGGCATTTCATTTGTACTGTTTAGTTGTTTCGTTTAGACCTACACAGATCGGTGAGGTATTGTTGAAAACACCCTGATCTTTGAGTAATCTTTTGCCCATCTTTCATAGAAAGCTGTATCTTCACACAAGACGAAAACTGAATCTACTTGGGACATTTTGTGTATGCGTGGAACAGTTTGTTGCCCAAGTGAACTCGAGATAATAATACATGCCTTTTGATTCTTGATTCCTGGCAGAAAAGACAAGTATTGCTCAGTATCTGTGAATGTGTCGATGTTGTTAATTCTAAGTGATATATAACTCGCTCTGACTAGTAAAAACCGATTTTCAAGCAAAAAAATGCATGTTCGCCTGCTATGCGAAAGTTGCCTACTGTGTACCGTTTAGTTCGCGTTACGATTGCAAGATAATTGTAGTTTTTCACGATAATATATATTTATTTTGACTTCTATCCTGGTAGTAGTGTTTATATGCTAAGTTACACATCTAGTGATTTCTTTCGCGTACGAATGATGAATATTATCGAACGAAACTAACTTACATGATTGAACTGAACACCGGCTACATATGTAAGAAAGAGAAAAATAATATACAATGGTGTGCTTTTTTAGATTTGTTTTTGTTCACTATTTCGTTTGAAAAGAATTTTACATGAACGACGCAAAATACGATTTTCCATTTAGTTTGCACTTTTATCGGCCCATTATTTTATACCTGTCGAATGATTCAAAGATGATTTTTCTATCATCAATACACGTTTTTCTAGCCCGCATAACTATTTTACGCAGAAGCACGGGAACAGAAAAGGTAAAGAAAAAAAAACAACTTTTTTTTCTATCTTTCTATGAAGAAAAAACATCAATGTACAGAGCAATACACACTATATAATGGTCAGATGAAAGGAACATGCTCGTTCTGTATCGATAAAAAACAGCGACAATCGGTCCCTCATATCCTTTATTTATATATAGAGAAAGACTTGTTTTTTTTTAAACAATCTTATTTATGCTCTGAATAAATTATATTTAATTGAACATCATCAGATTTCTTTCGAATGTTAACTTCCAATAGTGAATTAGATTCATCTAGATCGATCGATAATGAAAAATCAAGAAAATATTCTCGTGAATGTCGAATATGTGGAGCTCCGGCTGAATATAGATATTTTGGTATTATTGCATGTACTTCACGCAAAACATTCTTTAAACGAAATGCTAATTCTACAAAGGTTAGTTCAATATTTTCGTTTCGTTTTATTCTGATATGATTTTATTCAGATACGATTTAAATGTGATAATAATGATCAATGTAAAATCAATATAAATAATCGTCATATACGTACTTCATGTCGACTTGCTAAATGTTTTCAATGTGGAATGAGTACCGACATGTTTCGAGCACCAAGACAAACAAAACCAAAATCGATTAGTCTAATTATAGCACAAATAAAGGATCAGCCAGAACGGGTGAGATTATTGAAAAATTCAATGTTAATCTACACTTGAAGAAGTGCATCAGAATATTGAAATAATCATTTCTAATATGCATTTATTATCTATAATCGTCGTTGGACTGAACTACTTCTAACCTTTGTGTATGAGATTTGCAACTAAAAAAACCCATGACGAAACTTTTTTTATCATAAGAAATGCAAAGATCAAAGGAACATTGACATGTGAAGTCTATAAATAACGTTCATGTTGTTTCCTTACGTTCTTTAGCATTGGTTAATAATTGTGTTAGAAAGTGATCATAAAAAAAGCATAGTAGTCCTTTAGTTGAAGCAGTGAGTTGTAATTTTGAGTATATGAAGTAGAGAACTGCTATGAAAAACATTTTTTTATTTTAATATTATTTTAACAAATAATAACAATGCATTTGCGAGCTTTCGAACTCAATCTGAGTTCATCATCAGGCATATGAGTCGATGTTGGTTGTGAACGTTGTATTTATATTATTATTAGTCTAATTGTTGTATTGTGATTGATATAATTATCAATACAAGCGCTTGTATTGATAATTATATCAATCACAATACAACAATAAGACTAATAATAATATAAATACAACGTT